TAGGTAGGCGTGATGTTATGTATGGATTACTAGCGAATCAAATGGGGTTAATTGGCGAACAGTACCATTCACTTACTTTCTACCAATCGCCACGTATAAATTGTTATGATAGATGAAAGTTCCGAACTTGGAGGGTATATAAGCCGATTTGAGAATAAAGAAAGAATTTCTGTAAAATTGTTTAAGGGAATGAGCAAGTAATCTCGTTTTAACACATCTCTGTGTCCTTTTGGGAGCGTCAAATTGATTCGACGAACACTCACACTTCTCTCTGAGATTGGACCGATGCTTAAATCCAATTTCTTCCGGTATTTCCGGATAGATTCGCTACTATTTCAACGGTATAGTTTTCTAAGCTAAGATAAAATCAATGATCCGTCAAACGACTTTGTATTATTGTGGTTGGCTTATGGTTTATTTAATACTAGTCACAGTTAGTCTACATTTAAAAATTTTAATATGATTAGCTTTATATACCAATATTTTAATTATTTATCAATATTTTAATTTTTACGAAGAGTCTTTAATTTTATGTTCCTTTAACATAATAATGTTGATTTCGTAAGTGGAAGTTTCTTGTTTTTTATTCACTTACTAAAATTTTATTTTCCTTGTTCGTCTGTATAGTTTTTATTTATCACTTAATTGTAAAGTTGGTTAACCTATCATTGGCGACTATATAAGCCCAATACTTTATTGTTGTCTCTTAATACAATATAAACAGAAGCTGTTGGTATACCTATTTAAATAAATAATAAATAGTCTATCTGGTTAATATAGGTATGTATAGGTGTATATAATTTCAAAATTGACTTCATTTCAATACGTTATAATTGAAAACCTTTTTAATAAACATTATTTGTTTTTGTTTTTCGTACTAAGTCTAAATAAATAAATAAACATAATCCAATTGTATTATCTTCTGATGTGACGGTTTCCATGGTTATTGACAAACAGTTTTTGTTTTCAATAAACTCCTGCATTGATATACATTTATCAAAATGTATACATGTGTTATACAAAAAGGCCTCCATTAACTTAGGTAGGTTACATATCGACACATAGATTCAATATGTTTTGCTATATAAACCCCATGACCCGAGATTTTGACAAAGTATCTACCGATAAGAGGTGATAGTTCGATAAAAGGCACTATACATTATCAAGTTAGCCGGTTTCCGACCCCACTCCTGTAAGCGCCATGTTTTTAATACTATTACAACAACTGCCTACCCTCTCAAGGTACATCCTTGGTACAGTATTTCTGTTTTAATTAATTATTCAGCGTGACTAGCGATATTTGCTTTTATAATAACCAGGGAAATTAGAATATGGGTTACATAAAACTAGGTCAGTAGTTTTATCTACAGAACCCATGTCAATTCATAAATTACTGAACTTACTTGAACGTGACTTTTGAAAAATTCGTAATATGTTGTTATTGTTTTGTTTACAAAGGTCGAACGATATTTTTAACTGAATGCTTCTAGCGAGCAATAAATGTTTGAAACATTCTTCGAAACGAAAAATGTAGCGAGAAAATTTTTTAGCACAAAAAATATACCTGTGGAATTTAGAAGACTTAAACCTTTTTTTTCTGGCCTGTTTCCTTGATTCTTGCTGTTAATAAGTATCAGGAGTTGAGTTCTACACTTACCTACCTAACTACTTTTATGAATTAGATACTTTTGGTTAAAGGCTGGTAGGTCCACAGTAGGAGGTATTCTTTAATTGTTTATGACTGCCTCATTGGCCGAGTGGTCGCAAGTGCGACTGCCGGGCAAGGGGTCTCGGATTCGATTCCCGGGTCGGGCAAAGTATTACTAGGTTTTTTAAAAAAATCACAGTAGTAGCACGGAGTCTGGAAATGTGCCCGGTATATGGCATTAGGTTCACCTCCTATTACATGGAACTCATAACATAAATAGTGAAAAGTGGGTGTTACATTGTACAGTGGCATTAAGTGCCGTAATATACACTTCTGCCTAACCCTTCGGGGATAAAAGGCGTGATATTATGTTATGTTTATGATTTTCGAAAGACACTAGTCTCATGCCTACAAATGTACCTATAACATAACTAACGAAACGTCCACACATTACAAGATCCAACCTCTATTTCGGAGACAAAAAAACATAGACTTATATTGTTTTACGGTCATACCTTGTTTAGTTGGTCATCAGCCTTCCCGAGGATAACTTCGCAGCCCTCTCGATGTGCGAATAGCTTTCTAGCCTGGACTTTCATGTGGAAGGTCCGTTCTATGAGTGGTGTGGAAACCAGTCTCTCCAAAGACTGTGCTGCATTGTTAAATCCTATGACGTCAGCCTCCACCTCCTGGAGTAATGTTTCCCAAGTGTGGAACAGTGATGATGGACATGTTGCTCTGGAAAGAAAAGACAAATAAATTTAAGAACTTTTGTTATTTTTGTTGAGCTTAAAGTCGGATGTGGTATCTATCGGGTTTGTTATTTGTATAATTTTTATTTTCTTTTTCAAAACATCGAAATTGATGAAACTAGATACCATATTGTCTAAAGAAATTTATCACACTGCTACTCTATTTTGTAAAACTCGCTTCGAGCTGACCACAGACAATCGAATAGCGAATTCACTTGTTTCGATAATTGAAAGCAATCCACACGAGTTCACAACCCGACACCTATCCAATTTCGAAGTTTGTTCAGCGAAGAGCCATTGGATTGGCAAGGAAAATTAGTACTGTACCGTAATTATATCCATATTGCTTTGAATAATGATCAATTCAATATGTAGTGATCTATCATTGGCTGACAATGTAATTTACTTCCCATAGCTCATCCCGCGTACGATATATGCACATACGTATTCATATAGGTTCAGTTGTCATCGATCTTAGTGAAGCCGTCGTGAGAGCTATACGATGGTATTGAGTTGGCTGGCATATCGACAGCTTACGAAACTAGCTCATTGTAGTAATCCTATTGTGCAATATCGAGTAATATATTGTTGTGTTCCATTTTACAGTAGTTAGGTTTATGTTTTAGTTTTGTTGTTTATATTTCTTAATTAAGGCCGTGGCCTCGCGTCCATTGAATGCGGGTAGGATACGGTCTGTTGCTTGTTGCGTATAATTTTGGAGATTTATCGATTGTCTTCACGATAGACGAAGATAAGTGGTAAAAGAAAATCGTGTTCTCGTTTTATAGAAAACCTTTTTGGAGGGGGGAATCATCTAATGACTTCTCTCACCCCAGTGTGGCGAGAGGGAGTGTCAGACTCTTACTGACTAAAAACCACCCCGTTCCTACTCCTGCACTGCGAGCCGGAGCCCCGGCAGCTCGTTAAGTCCTCCGCGACTCCGTATCGGTATCAGCTTTATTGGGCACTATCAGTGGTGATAAAGAAAACCTTGACTATATGACCATTTGGTTCTTCCATGAACCAAAAAACTTAATCATACCTCTTATTAATCTGTCACTAGTTGTTGCGAACCACTTTAGCTGTCAGCAGAAGTAATTGTCCATACGAAAGTGCATGCAATCGCTACAATTGTGGCCGCGAGTGTGAAGTGACGTCATTTGTCACGGGCACCGGAGCGAAAATGTGAAGTGTATTAAATTGATCCGTACTAAGGGCAATAAAATAAAATTTACTGATTTAGTACAAAATACATATTGTGCAAATAGGATCCATCGCGAACTTGATCCAAATGCATTATGGGCTAGGTACCTACGTTATAGGTCTTCGTTATTGAATAATGCACGAAATCTCTTGATCCTCTTAAGAGAGAATCCCTCATGCAGTCGAGTCAAGTTAGTTCGATAAAAGACGCTCGTCAGTAAATGAAAATTAAATCGATTCAGTGGTTTTATACCGAAAACAACCTAATAAATTCAATTTTATAAATATTAAATTTCGCGATGAGTAAAACGACTTTTGACATGTTTGTTCAACGTCTGTATTTTATGGTGCCACCTATTACTTAAAAGTCATTGATGCAGGAAAAGAGGAATTAATCTGTAGAATTCAAGTAGTGAATAAACCTAGTGTTAAAATAATAGTATCATGCATGCATGAAGCGGTTGCCCGCCAACCTACCGCCTGCAAATGAAACATCAATAAGGTTAAAAGCTTCCACTTTCATAATCCGACCGCACGTCTATTATTGCGTTATACAACGTTTTTGTTCTGAACCCCTTTCGCCTTTAAAATAACCATTAGTGAATTGAAATTTGCAAACGATAGTACAAATTGGATTTCTCTATCAAAATATCAAACGCACTCCTGTTTCCTACCTGTACTTCGACAATTATTGTTGACAAAGTTAATGAGCTTAAACTTGTCAAGAACAGATAATTTTCTGGTTTACCTGGGACCAAATATTAAAGGACGCAATTTATTTTTATTAATAGCAAGTCTTGTCGAACCACAAGTTCGATATTTCGTGAAAACAACTTTCCGATGTTGTTGAAATGAGATACGATTATCACGAGCCACTGAACATTGTCCAAAAACTTTTTGCGTCTTCATTTTTTATCTAGATATATCTGAGAAGATAAAAATATAATTTAATTCTGCGTATTTAATAGACACAATTCGAGTATAATTTTCACCAAAATATTCTCTAACACAATCATATTATCTGCTCTTAATGACAAGGGACTAATTGCTTTTGGATTGTTGAACGAAATATCAGAAACAGTATTCTGTTGTTCATATTAAGTAGATAACTCCGTATATATATAATCTGTATGTATAAACAATAATTTAATATTCATAAAGTCCGTCTAGTCTAGACTTAGTTTGTAGGGCGGCAATGTTGTGGTAAATTAATTTAACAATCAAATGCTAAAGTTAAACAAACCTATAAACATTAAACAGTATGTTCGTATGTAGTACCTACATACTTAAGGTTAAGACAAAAAAAGTATTTATACTTAAGGTTAGTAAAATAAAGACGGGCACACAATGTGAAAATTTTATCAATATCCGATAACCAATAAGTGCATCGACTTCTCCTGTAGGTACTCTGAGTTGATGTTCGCTAAGTGGGGAGATAGCAGCCATTGCTGAAACCGGGTCACAGGCTTTTGATATGCACAATTTAGGACACATACTCATGCAAAAATATCTATATTACAATTTTATCATTTGGTACTCCATAAACAGGATACATATGTCGGCGTACCAATCTAAATGTGTGCTCCGTAAACAAAAGAAAAAAAAAAATTTGGGACAATTATTTTTACTCTCATTTTGTCATTTAATATTTAATACCTAAATGAATAAAAACACCTGAACATTAATGTTGCAAACTAACAAAACTAACGTTACAAACGTTCCTATTCCGAAATTCGATTTATAAAATAAAACAAAACAAATTCGACTGTGCACACTGGACAACGAGCTTAACAATTACATAGTTTTAATTTAAATTTCAAATCCTACAAATTAGGTCGAGCCTAGGTAAAAGGCTTGCCCACTGGGAGCGGTGGAGATTAAAGGCCTTTGTTTCGTCGTATATTGAATGTTTATTGTACATAATTTTATGGATATCGTTGGGTTCAATTCATAATTAGGTAGTACTACCCCGTCCACCCTGGATGCGGGAGGAATATCCTAGTGTGGGGACAAGTCTACAAATGTTTTTCAAAAGTTTGGAAGAAAAATTTGGAAGCATTTTATTGCTGTTAATTTTTAATTTATTTAAAGAATCATAAGTAATTTCAGCGACTTTTCAACAGGCATTTCTTTTCCTATATGATTGACTGCAAAATGCTATTGTCATCAAAATTATTGATGTTTTTAAACTTCAAAGTGAAGCCTTGATCTAACGTCCCTTTTTGCTTTCGATATTTTTAAGGCTTGGTTTACATGACATAGCGGATAACGACACGACATAAAGAGCTCTCAGTCAGTCACAGACGTGCTAGAGTGGATATTGTGAACCCCGCTCAACACTCGGAGTTATTGGAAAAAGCGGGGCATCACTAAGATTAGTTTCAATTCATTATCTTTTGCGGGTTCTAAATTTTCAAAGGCCTTTATCAAAGCTGGGGTATTATGTAATACTCTTAGTGGCCTTAAATTTGGTGCCGTAATTTATAAATTGAAATGCAAATATTAGTTGATTCGATAAATGATAATTTTTCAATCTAACGGTGTACATCTTAGATCGAATAATCTAGGGTTTTGATAAATAGAATTTATTTTTGATGCTGTTTTAAAAAAATGTAAGTGCAAAATCTTAAATGAATCGATTGCTGATTTAGTTATTGCAGGTGTTTGGTTTTTAAAAGCTTATGAGATCGATGCCGACGTTGAGCTACTTCTACCAGCCAAGAGTCACGATCTTGAGCTTTCTTGTTTCATGGGAGCTAGATATCGTGAAATATTTACTGAAAGGTAATATGATATAAAACACAAAATTAGCTTATTTTGAAAAATACAAAGGCTCAGGCATTTAAAATTAATAAAACTATAATCAATTAGTAAATATAGAATTTTGGATAGGCAAGATTTTTATTTTGTAACAAAAAAGCACTGAGTAGTGGACTAAAAAAGTATAGATGAATTACTGTGGACATACCCATAAGAATACAATTTCAATATTGACACGACTCTGTTGTACAACTGCCGGCAGCGGGCAGATTACCACCGAAAGAAAACAATTGCCTATTTGTTACTAGGAATCTCGGTTGCAGTTCAATGTTTTGGTTTTGTTTTCCAATTACCTAATTCTTCTGGTTTGGTTTTTCAAATCCGAATGATCATTATAACAGATATCCAAGTTCATCGAATATTTCGTAAAATATTACTTGAACAAAATACAATATGTGTACAACGTGAACAGAATACTAATAATCAAGTTAATGCCTAATTCTGATTCCACGATAACCTTAGGGAAAAACATACATTACACACACAGCTCAATAGGCATTAACAACGAATCTTGTATTCAATTAAGAATTCTAATGTTATAACCTAGTTTCCAACAAAGGATTAACAAAGAGCTTTTACAAATATTGGGTTCCAATTAAATGTAGTGTTTCACTTCGTGTCATAAAGTTTACTCCTTAGTAAAGCTGGTGGTTGTATTGTAGTCCATTTTATCTTCTCAGGGAACACTGTGATTCAGTTAATAGGTAGCAGTGTGCTTATACGAGCGTACATACAATTGGTTCCAAGAATGTAACTTTTATACATATCCTCTCACCCATTATGCAATATCTAATCGACCTGAATGTTTAAAAATATTCGTAATTCTTAAATTCGATTTCTTTATGCAAAAAGTCTGTGTTGTTCTTTCACAGAAATTACCCACTTTGCAGCCATGAATATTCATCACGTTAAAGGATTTGTCCCAGTGGTTATAAAAGGTTTTTTATTATTCACCCCCAAGAA